TATTTCCATGCTGAGTTACAGGTGTGAGCCACCGTGCCCGGTCAGGTCTCAGTCAATTTATAAAGTTTATTGCCAAGGTTAAAGACTCGCCCGTGACCCAGCCTCAGGAGGTCCTAACGACACGTGCCCAAGGTGGTTGGGGCACAGCTTGGTTTTAAACATTTTAGGGAGACATATCAATCAATACATGTAAGGGGTACATTGGTTCAGTCTGGAAAGGTGGGACAGGGGAGAGGGCTTCCAGGTCATAGGTGGATAAGAGGCCAACAGCTGCATCCTTTTTGTTTTTGAGACGGAGTCTTGCTCTGTCGCCCAGGCTGGAGTGCAGTGGCGTGATCTGGGCTCACCGCAACCTCTGCCTCCCGGGTTCAAGTGATTCTCCTGCCTCAGCCTCCCGAGTATCTAGGACTACAGGTACGCGCCACCACACCCGGCTCATTTTCACATCATGAACTCTAGGGTGCTTGTGAGGCCTTGAATGTTTACTTGCAAATCACTAGAGCCTGAGGATTGGCAGAGGAAATGATGCCTTGGACTTAGAGGGCCTTGACGGTCAGAAAGGCAAAATCCAAAACCCCGATGTCAAAATAGAGATGCGTTGTGCAAATCTGGAGTTAACAGTTAATGCAGCTATATTGGCTTGTGATAAAAAATAGCCATCTAGGCGACTCCAGGTCCTATGACTCTGGAGGACTCCTTTGAACCATGGAAGTCCCCATTCATCGAGGGGTTTAGCCTCACTGTTTACAGCACTCCAGAGGGTTTCAAGGAAAAGTTCCTTCGCAAGACACGCGAGAACCTGAGGGTACCCATAGGTTGCCTGGGCACGGCAGCCGCCCTCACCTAGGGCCTCTACTGCTTCCACCAGGGCCACAGCCAACACTCTCAACTCACGATGCTCACACCTGGATCTCCGCGCAGGGCTTCACAGTCGCAGCCATCTTGCTGGGTCTAGTTGCAACTGCTATGAAGTCTCGACCCCGAGCCCACAGTCTGGCCTTGAAAGCTTCGCAGAGATCATTCCAAAACCCAGGAGCACCACTGGCCCTACCATGGGACTTATTCCCTCCTCTCCTTTGAGAGGCCCTGTGTCCTTGGGGGAGAAAGTGAACCTTTATGTAATCATAACTGAAAGATTTTTTCAAAAATTCCAGATTCTGTTTGACTGTTACGTACTTTTTTTTTTTTTTTTTTTTTTAAGAGGGAGTCTGGCTGTCTCCCAGGCTGGAGTGCAGTGGTGCAATCTCGGCTCACTGCAAGCTCCGCCTCCCGGGTTTACGCCATTCTCCTGCCTCAGCCTCCTGAGTAGCTGGGACTACAGGTGCCCGCCACTACACCCAGCTAATTTTTTGTATTTTTAGTAGAGAAGGGGTCACCGTGTTAGCCAGGATGGTCTGGATCTCCTGACTTCGTGATCCACCCGCCTCGGACTCCCAAAGTGCTGGGATTACAGGCGTGAGCCACCGCGCAGGGCCAAATGTTACATACTTCTATTTGTGCCACATCTCCTCCACTCCCCTGCTTAATAAACTCTAATCCACTTGTAGTACAGTGAGAAAAACAGCCATCTACATGAAAGTGAACTGAGAGGGGTACTTACTCAACTAATATTGCTGCCTACAACCTAAACCAACACAGTGACCAATTCTAGTGTCCTTTCTAAAGATTAAAAAAAACAAGATAAAAAAGCAAAAAATAGCTATAAAGATTAAAACATGGATGGGCGTCCGCCATTGCTGAGGCTTGAGTAGGTAAACAAAGTAGCCAGGAAGCTCAAACTGGGTGGAACCCACAGCAGCTCTAGGAGGCCTGCCTGCCTCTGTAGACTCCACCTCTGGGAGCAGGGCATAGCTGAACAAAAGGCAGCAGAAACTTCTGTAGACTTGAAGGTCCCTGTCTGACAGCTCTGAAGAGAGCAGTGGTTCTCCTAGCACGGTGTTTGAGCTCTGAGAATGGACAGACTGCCTCCTCAAGTGGGTCCCTGATCCCCATGTGGTCTAACTGGGAATACAGATAATTATTTTACATAAAGCATACTGTACGAGCATGTTCCTCTGATACAAAAAAAGGCAGAGATAATACTATAATCTATAACGTAAACTAGAATTAAGTAAATATTTTTAATTGTTATATAAGATATAGGTGACTCTCATGAGGTCCACCCAAAATAAAATAATACATACTCTACTTGGCCGGGTGTGGTGACTCATGCCTGTAATCCCAACACTTTGGGAGGTCAAGGCCGGCGGATCACTTGAGGTCAGGAGTTCGGGATCAGCCTGGCCAAAATGGTGAAACTCTTGTCTCTACTAAAAATATAAAACTTAGTCGGGTGTGGTGGTATGGTGGTGCAGGCCTGTAGTCCCAGCTACTTGGAAGGCTGAGGCAGGATAATCACTTGAACTTGGGAGGGGGAGGTTCCAGTGAGCCGAGATCACACCATTGCACTCCAGCCTGGGTGACAAATGAGACTCCATCTCAAAAAATTAAATAAAAAAAAGATAGTGTATTTATCTATGGAATTAAAAACTGCTTTTAACAAGGTTTATGAGACAAATCCAGATCAACATAGTATCTTTTTTATGAAAAAATGAAGTTAGTTTTAAATATTGATGTCACAGTTAATCCTAGAATCATTATAACTTAATTGACATACTTCATGGATTTAAGTTCAGGGTGTCAGTTTTTTTTTTTTTTTTTTTTTTTTTTTTGGGTTTGTTTTTTTTTTCTTGCCTGGGGTGGAGTGGCACAATCTCGGCTCACTGCAACCTCCACCTCCCAGGTTCAAGTGATTCTTGTACCTCAGCCTCCCAGGTAGTTGGGTTTACAGGTACGTGCCACCACACCCAACTAATTTTTGTATTTTTAGTAGAGACAGGGTTTCATTTTGTTAGCCAGGCTGGTCTCAAACTCCGACCTCAGGTGATCCACAGGCTTTGGCCTCCCAGAAGTGCTGGGATTACAGACATGAGCCACTGCACCCGGCCAATGTTTTTATCGTTTGCAAATTTAGGTTAATACAAAAATTTAGTATTCTCTTTGTTTAATTACATAGGCGCTCACACTTGATATGAAGCTTTGTGTACTATAAAAAAGTAGGCCAGGTACTATGGCTCACCCCTGTAATCTCACTACTTTGGGAGGTTGAGCCAGGCTGATCACTCGAGGTCAGGAGTTCAAGACCAGTCTGGCCAATATGATGAAACCTCATCTCTACTAAAAATACAAAAATTAGCCGGGCGTGGTGATGCACACCTATAGTCCCAGCTACTCAGGAGGCTAAGGCAGGAGAATAGCTTGAACCCGGGAGGCAGAGGTTGCAGTCAGCCGAGATTGCACCACTATACCCCAGCCTGAGTGACAGAACAAGAGTCCGTCTAAAAAAAAGAAAGTAGCAGAAAAATCATACAAATGAAGAGTAAGGCTCCACAATGAACCTAAAACCCTCTAGGGGATTCACTTGGTAGCTATTCAGTTTCATAGTGTACTCTATACTAATAATGCGTATTTTTTCAGGAAAACAGATTTGAATGTTCTTATCATCTCAAACTGCTAAGCATATTGTACAAATACATTTTTTTTTTTGGTTTTGTTTTGAGACGGAGTCTTACTCTGTCACCCAGCCTGGAGTGCAGTGGTGTAATCTCGGCTCACTGCAACCTCCACCTCCCAGGTTCAAGCTATTATTCTGCCTCAGCCTCCCGTGTAAATGGGATTACAGGCATGCATGCATGCATCACTACACCTGGCTAATTTTTGTGTTTTTTTTAGTAGAGATGGGGTTTCACCATGTTGGCCAGGCTGGTCTCGAACTCCTGGCCTCAAGTGATCTGCCCACCTTAGCCTCCAAAGGGCTGGGATTACAGAGGTGAGCCACTACACCCGGCCCATATGTACTGTCTGTTTAGTTAACAATTAGATGCTTGAAGAAATAAAAATCCACTACTTTTACTAAAATATTTGCATAGCATGGAAGAACTACACACAAAAATCTTTAGCACATTCAAGAAGTATTCACAAAATAAAGTATATACAATTCAAAATTTAGCTGTTCAAAAAAGATGTCATCATATAGACAGTAGGGCAAAGTACCCAAAAAACTAAGTTCTATGATTACAGTGAATTTGACATCAACCAGTAAATGTATTTATAATCGTTAACACAGTCCTTACTAACAATGTAATCAAGGATTTTTTTTTTCTTTTTGAGACAGAGTTTTGCTCGTTACCCAGGCTGGAGTGCAGTGACGCAATCTTGGCTCACGGCAACCCCTACCTCACCAGTTCAAGCGATTCTCCTGCCTCAGCCTCCCGAGTAGCACCGCGCCTGGCTAAGTTTTCTATTTTTAAGAGAGACAGGGTTTCTCCATGTTGGTCAGGCTGGTCTCCAACTCCTGACCTCAGGTGATCTGCCCACCTTGGCCTCCCAAAGTGCTGAGATTACAGGACTGAGCCACTGTGCCTGACCAAGGATTTCTAATTGTATTCTGATAGTAAAAGTTGTTAAGTCATCAAGAATTTAAGAAACTGTTCTAGAAATTCAAATTTGACATCTCAAGTAAGAGAAAAGGAAATGTATATACACAAAAGAAGTGTTACTTATGGGAACATAATTAAAAGTTAGCTACTTTCCTAGATATGATAGATAAAAAAGAATGAATTGACTATATGATCTTTTGGAAATAAAAACCTAAGTTTACCTTTGGATATACATAGGATAATTCAAACAAAAAGTGGAACCTAACTTCCTCATCACACAGAACTGTCCTTTTCCCCTCTTCTTAGAACACTTACTTTTATAAACCATTGGTTTGCCAGGCTCATTAATTTTTTAGTAGTATTTATGTATATATAAGTACCTTTTCAAAATTCTGAAAACAGTATTAAGGAAAAACAGGAACTGTTTCACTTAGGTCTTACCTAGTACAGTGAATCAACTTCACAGTGCAATGAATACTAGTAAGATAGCAACATGAATACAAAAGCAAGACTACAAACTGATTATTTTCTTTTGGAGCTGTTTTATGATCAATTCCAAACATACAATACAGGGAAGGTGAAATGAGTAAGAAAAAAATCATATTTAATTCCCCGTTAAGACTAAGCCATATTATTCAAAATGTGTTTCAAAATACTCAGCCAGATCACCAAATCTCAGTCACTACCTTAGTATAAATATTCACTAGGAAAATAGTCAAGCAACAGAAATCCATTGTGAGACACCATCTAGAGAGAACAGCTACACTGCTATATATAATTTATTAACTTAGTAGTTTAGTCTCTCAATATTTAGCAAGTTTGTTTAAAAATTACCATTACCATTGGTTCATAGTGTCATTAATATAAATCCATAATTTCAAAGTCAACATTCCTTTCACTGTGAACATAAGACTTCTTAAAAGCTAGTTGTGGGTTGGGGAACAGTAATGACTGTGGCTGGTGGGAACTGTTAAAAGCCAAAAAGACTGGCAAGCTTGGAAAGGCATACATGATATATACACACACTCTCAGTATACTACTGTTCCCCATATTTTTGCTGTACATTCTTGTCTTAAAAGATGGTATAAATTATTCCCTTAAATTTGAAAAAACAATTAAGATGAATACATTTTCATCTTCATTTCAAAATTACCCTTTTAAATAAAAAAGAAGTTCCTCATGTTTGTTAAATCTGTTCAAAAGTTGGATTTAAATACTTTCTTCACAACATGTACAATGTTTTCACCCTTAGTGCCTCATTACAATCAGTTTGGCAATAAGACCTCCAGTGCTTTATCAAAAATGGCATTCAATAGATTATAAGATTGTTAAATCTGCATTTGAATTATTCTTATCACAATGAATTATAACAAAGTCCAAAAACTGTATGACTATTCATCAATACCCTTGGAAGCTATGAATTATTGCAAATAATCTCACACGTGCATGTAATTCAAACATAAACTTCATGGGAGAGGGGGTGTAAAATAAATACTATAGTATTTCTTCAATTCTATTTAATGCTGCCTAGCTGGTTAAATGAAAGCTTAATATTACTAACAGGAAGAGTCAAACTATTTTAAGGACTGTTTTCTAAGTAGAATAATTTTTGCAAAAGAAAGATAAGCAAGAGCCTATGCAAATACATTTTCTTGTAGTGTAATGTAATTGCTAATATGAGGTATAATCTGTAAGCAATTAATACAAATATAAATAGGTATAAGCCACCACTAACTCAGTCTGGTGAAAAGCTTCTCAGTTAAAGTATTTTGAGGATAAGGTTAAGGGAAATGAGAAGGGGTGGACAGGGCAGGTTTCCAGTGAGAACATAATTTATGTGCCTTATCATTATGATCATCCTGTATGTACCAGTCCATTGTTGCAGAAAGGTAAATCCTTTCCAAGTATGTTATACTTTATGTTACACAGTAAAATTATTTAAGTATTACTAATGCTTCATCTGCATTTGTATTTAGATATACACATAATTATATATGCATATCAAAAACTAGAAACAGAATTTTAAAACACTTTTATCTCAATTGGGGAAAGTTAACAGGTAAGACAAAACTATGTACTATAGAATTTTTTAGGATATCTAAACTCAAGGTAAAACCAATGGAAAACATTTCTACCTCTTCAGTAAATGGCTTGTGTGAAACCTCAAGCTCTCAATCATTTTTTTACAGATGGGTTTGTTTGATGAGGATTGTGATCCAATGATTGTTTAGCAGCAATTTTACCAAACTGTAAATTCTTTTATTAACAGGCATTATAAACAGATAATACTAATCTTATTTAAAAACCATGAGTGCCACACTGGTGAATATACAGCTTATGAATAACTTAAAAAGTATTTCCCATTTTAAAAGGCAAACCCAGCATACAAAAACCTATACTAAACAAAGAAGCTATAATATGGATACATGATTGATGTGTCTAAAATGATATATACAGTACATAATTAACGTTAATTATATGATCAGTACATTTTTCCATATGATTCCCTTCATGCTTCACTTTCCCCAGAAACTGAATTCTGTACTTCCTCTTCTAAAATTGGTACAATCAGGTTATCCTTGGACATCAAATTGTATTTCATCACAAATTTAGTAAACCGATGACACAAAAATGTTTCATTCTGTAGAGAGGAAGACAAAAATATTATTTTAATTCACTATCCCAAACCAAAAGACTAGAAATAACATCAATATATATTATGGTCATTCTGATAAGAATGTATCAAGATTAATTAGTGAAATATACTTACTTCATATTCATCAAATATCTGCCGATGATGAAAATAAGCATGTGAAAATATTCTGTAAATCCTACGGCATACTGATCCTAGTTTCGCTACAGATGATTCCTTTATGCTAACTCTAGAAGTAGAAAAGAAACCATAGATTCTTAGAACTGGATGGAATCTTAGGAACAATATAGTCCAATTTTCTCAGTTTACAAGTGTAGAAACTGACACGTAGGGAAAATAAGTGACTACTCCGAGATCACACTGCGAGTAAATGCCTGGAGCCCCTACTCCTCACTTCTGGGCCAGTGTTCTCTTTACCTAATCACAGGGCCTAAGTTAAATTCAGCATTATAGTTTTGAAACTTTGTAAAAGTTTAACGCAGTTAGAATAAGTCCCTGACATTTCAAAATTTACTAAAACATCTATTTCCAACATTAATACATTGTCCACTAGAGGCGATTAAAACTCCTGAAAGGAATTATTGTTTTCTTTTACAGAACTAGGTTATTCTTTCTTTCTTTCTTTCTTTTTTTTTTAAGAAATTAAGGTCGGGTGTGGTGGCTCACGTCTGTAATCCCAGCATTTTGACAGGCTGAGGCAGGTGGATCACCTGAGGTCAGGAGTTCAAGACCAGCCTGGCCAACATGGTAAAACTCCATCTCTACTAAAAAATACAAAAATTAACAAGGCATGGTGGCAGGCACCTGTAATCCCAGCTACCCGTGAAGCTGAGGCAGAAGAATCGCTTGAACCCGGCAGGCAGAGGTTGCAGTGAGCTGAGATTGCGTCACTGCACTCCAGCCTGGGTGAGCAAGACTCCATATATAAAAAGAGAGAGAGAGAGAAATTAAAATTGTTTATTTAAAATTGAAATTGTCTGCATATTTCTGATATCCTTTTTTAAAATATGTATACAGAGAATATTAAGGCCAAAAACCAGTATTTTTCTTAACATATTTTATACGAGCTCTTTGAAGCTAATCATATTTGGGGGGAAAAATATCCAAATCTATCCATCTGGTAACAAATACCTTAATAAAATAAAAGGCATTCACAAACTTCACCGATAATATATTACATAATATATTTAAGATCCGACTTCTCAGATCTTAAAAATCAATGAGCAAGGATAAGGAATTTTTCAAAAACAAATAGTTCAACTTAGTAAAGTCTGCTCTCTTTTTTTTTTGAGATAGAGTTTCGCTCTTGTTGCTCAGGCTGGAGTGCAATGGCGTCATCTTGGCTCATCACAACCTCTGCCTCCTGGGTTCAAGCAATTCTCCTGCGTCAGCCTCCCAAATAGCTGGGATTACAGGCACTCGTCACCACGACCGGCTCATTTTGTATTTTTAGTAGAGAAGGGGTTTCTACATGTTGGTCAGGCTGGTCTCGAACTCCCGATCTCAGGTGATCTGCCCACCTCAGCTTCCCAAAGCGCTGGGATTACATGCATGAGCCTGCGCCCGGCCGGAAAGTCTGCTCTTTAGGCATACTACATAAAGGGAGGCCGAGTCTAACTATCATAGACATTCAAGTGAGCAAGTATATACATATCCCAACGCTAAAGTATGAGAGGGAGAGCTCTGCAGAATGACACACATGAACAGGTGCTAGCCTTAGACTGAACTGGCCTTGAGCTTTGACAGCCAAGTCCTGCTGTTTAACTACAGTCCTAATTTCAAAACTTGAATAAACAAGCCAAAATACAATAGCTAAAAAAAAAATACAAAAATGCGTTAACGAGCAACCTAATGTTACTTTTAAAATACTAATCTTATAAATTAAATCTAAAATGTTTAACATTATGTTTAAAAGTTTCCATTACCTGCTGGGAAAATATTTATTGCTATTCAGAAGACATGCAGCACCATCAAGTGTGTGTCTAGTATAGTCTATAGCAGGACACTACAAAAGAAAGAATATAGAAATGCATCAACAAAGAGCTCTCTCTTAGGTTAGATATATTCATTATATGGGTATACCTTATTCCAAAGACATGAGCATGTTATAAGAAAAAAGTTCCTTACAATTTCCGAATGCTTGCAAAATATGTTATATTAATAAGTAAGGTTTATTATCCCCTTGAACCATATCACAATTCTAGATGATACATAAAACCAGCCTCCCATTTTTATTCCCAACATCATACCTACAAGAAAACAACAATTACCGATAAGAAGAATCCTGATTTATTTCTGGTCTCTCCAGGGATGCCTTCTTATATCCTAAACAATATCCCTTACTATGTCCTTGGTACTCTATTATCAATCTAGCAGCCCTCTAAAGAACTTTCTCCCAAATCACCTTTGAATTTTAACATGAAATATCAAAGTTTCCTTATACTTTAACAAATCTGACTTAATTCTGTTCCATTTATCAGAAACACTGAAAAAAAGAAACAATGAAACACTGTCTCATGGCAACTCAGTAAATTTATTAAAGGAAAAATAAAACTGCAAAGTAATTGTTCTCCTCCAGTCCTCCTGAGGGCTGACAGGGAGCAGCATCAAGGGGAAAGCAGTCTAGAAACAAACCAGGGAGTCAACCAGAAGGAAAAAACAACTAAAGGAAGGAGTAACAATGAGTCTAGCTCAATGACTCTACCCAGTAATTAGATTATTTTTCAAGTTTCAGACTGAAACTGTCACTTAGAAATACAGTTTAATAACTACTAAATATGGCTTAGTGCCATGGCACTAAAAAATTATCTAACAAAAAAGAAGTATTTTTCTAACAATATATCCATAGGAATTTTTGATTAGTGGAGTCATTGCCAAAAACAGTACCATGAGCAATATTTATTGAAAAAAACTACCTTTCTCCAGATACGTGACCACAGATGAGTTGGTCAAAAGCAAATATCCCAAGTCACTGTATTTCTCATATTTGTCATTTGGGTACACGATGGGAATTTTACAACCTTTAAACCAGAACCATCAACAGGAATACAGCAGACCCTTGAACAACACAGGTTTGAACTGCATAAATCTACTTATGCTCAGATTTTCCCAGAGACGGCAAGACCAACCCCACTTCTCTTTCTCCTCAGCCTACTCGACGACATGAACACAACAAGGAAGACCTTTATAATGATCCACTTAATGAACAGCAAATATACTTTCTCTTCCTTATGATTTTTCTTAAAAAAAAAAAAAAAAAGAAAGAAAGAAATAAGGTCTCACTATGTTGACCAGGCCGAACTCCTGGCCTCAAGCGATCCTCCCATGATTTTCTGAATAACATTTTCTTTTCTCTAGTGTACTTCATTGCAATACACTATATAATACATAGAACATACAAAATGTGTGTTAATTAACTATTATCACTAAGGCTTCCAATCAACAGTAGTCTATTGGTAATTAAGTTTTGGGGGAGTCAAAAGTTATACTCAAGATTTTCAACTGCACAGAGGGTTGGCATCCCAATTCCAGAGTTGTTCAAGGGTCAACTGTATAATGCAAGCCATATATTTAATTTTAAATTTTCTAGGCCCAACGTGGTGGCTCACGCCTGTAATTCCAGCACTTCAGGAGGCCAAAGTGGGAAGATCACTGAGTCCAGGAGTTCAAGACCAGCGCAGGCAACACAGGGAGATGCCCCTATCTCTACAAAAAATTTGAAAAATTAGCCAGACATGGTGGCACATGACTGTAGTCCCCACTACCAAGAAGGCTGAGACAGGAGGATTGCTTGAGCACAGGAGGTCAAGGTTGAAATAAGCCAAGATCAGGCCACTGCATTCCAGCCTGGATAACAGGGTTAAGATTCCATCTCAAAAAAGTAATTAACTTTCTAAGAGATACATTAAAAAGGTAACGTGAAAGAGGTGAAATTAATTTTTTTTTTTTTTTTTTTGAGACGGAGTCTCGCTCTGTCGCCCAGGCTGGAGTGCAGTGGCGCAATCTCGGCTCACTGCAAGCTCCGCCTCCCGGGTTCACGCCATTCTCCTGCCTCAGCCTCCCGAGTAGCTGGGACTACAGGCGCCCGCCACTGCGCCCGGCTAATTTTTTCTATTTTTAGTAGAGACGGGGTTTCACCATGGTCTCGATCTCCTGACCTTGTGATCCGCCCGCCTCGGCCTCCCAAAGTGCTGGGATTACAGGCGTGAGCCACCGCGCCCGGCGAAATTAATTTTAATATTGTAGTTTGACCCACTATATCCAAAATATTACCATTTCAGAAGGTAATTGATATAAAATTAATGGGCTACTTTTTGACTTTTAAGATATAATTGATACAACTAAAATTTGCTCGTAAAACTTCAGTAGTTTCTAGTATATTCACGAAATTGTGCAACCATTACCATTAAATTTCAGAACATTTCAGCATCCCAGAAAGAAACCCTGAACAAATTAGCAGTCACTTCCCATTCTCTCCTTCCCCCAGCCCTAAGCAACAACTAATCTAGTTTCTGTTTCACAGGATTTGCCTATTCTGGACATTTCATTAAAATGAAATAATATAATAAGTGGTATTTTGTGTCTGGCTTCTATTACGTTTTCAAGGCTTATCCCTGGTGTAGCATCAATCAATACTTCATTCCTTTTTTTAAAATTCAAAACTTTTTAGCCTTTAATGTTTTAAATATATACAAAATGCTGTACTGTATGTTTCTCCCTTTAAGACTTCATTCCTTTTTATGGCTGAATAATATTCCATTGTACACATATACAGTCAGCACTTTGCATCTACAGATTTAACCAACCAGATCAAAACCACTTTTTAAAACCCCATAACAAAAAAAAATACAAATTAAGAAATATAGTATAACAACTATTTACATAGCATTTACATTGTATTCAGTATTATACGTAATCTAGAGATGACTTAAAGTATATAGGAGGATGTGCATAGGTCATACGCAAATACTATGCCATTTTACATAAGAGACTTTGGTATCTGTGTTTTTGGTATTCACGGGGGTCCTGGGACCAATCCTCTGAGGATACTGAGGAGATGGCTGCAATACATTTTGCTTATCCATTCATCAGTTGATGGATATTTGGTTGTTTCCATTTTTTGGCTATCATAAATAATGTGACTGTGAATATTCATGTACAAGTCTTTATGCAGATATGTCTTCATTTTGGGGGAACTACATATCAAGGAGTGGAATTCCTGGGTCATATGCAACTCTATGCTTAACCATTTTAAGGAACTTCCAAACTGTTTTTCAAAATAGCTGAAGCATTTTACAATCCCATCATCAATGTTTAGGGGTTCCACTTCACATCTCACCCAGCACTTGTTATTGTCTCTTTTCTATTTTAGCCATTATAGTGGGTGTGAAAGTATTTGCCATTTGGGGTTTTGATGCTTTTTTCTTAACATTTTAAAAAATTGTAGTAAAATATATACAACATAAATTTTTCCATTTTGACCCCCTTTTTTGGGGGGGGGGGGAAGGAGTCTCACTCTGTCGCCCAGGCTGGAGTGCAGTGGCATGATCTCCACTCACTGCAAGCTCCGCCTCCAGGGTTCATGCCATTCTTGCCATTCTCCTGCCTCAGCCTCCCAGTAGCTGAGACTATAGGCACATGCCACCATGTCTGGCTAATTTTTTGTATTTTTAGTAGAGACAGGGTTTCACCTTGTTAGCCAGGATGGTCTCGATCTCCTGACCTCATGATCCACCCACCTCGGCCTCCTGAAGTGCTGGGATTACAGGCATGAGCCACCAAGCCCGGACAGCTATTTTGACCATTTTTAAATGTACAATTTAGTGGCATTAATTTACAATATTGTGTAATCATCATCACTGTTTCCAACTCCCAAACAGAAACTATCATGGCCAGGCATGGTGGCTCACGCCTATAATCCCAGCACACTGGGAGGCCAAGGCAGGTGGATCACTTGACACCAGGAGTTTGAGACCAACCTGGTCAACATAGTGAAACTCCACCTCTACTAAAAATACAAAAATTAGCCAGGCATGGTGGTGCACACCTGTTGTCCCAGCTATTCAGGAGGCTGAGGCAGAGAACTGCTTGAGCCTGGGAGGTGGGGGCTACAGTGAGCCGAGATTGCGCCACTGCACTCCAGCCTGGGCGACAGTGAAACTCTCTTAAAAAAAAAAAAAAAAAAAAAAAGAGAAGAAGAAAAAAAAGAAACTCGGCTGGGCGCAGTGGCTCACACCTATAATTCCAGCACTTTAGGAGGCCGAGGTGAGAGGATCACATGAGGTCAGGAGTTTGAGGCAAGCCTGGCCAACATGGTGAAACCATGTCTCTACTAAAAATACAAAAATTAGCCAGGTGAGGTGGCACATGCCTGTAATCCCAGTTACTTGGGAAGCTGAGACAGGAGAATTGCCTGAACCTGGGAGGCGGAGGTTGCAGTGAGCCGAGATTGCGCCACTGCACTCCAGCCTGGGCAACAGAGCAAGACTCTTGTCTCCAAAAAAATAAATAAATAAATAAGTCTATTACCCTTAAGCACTAACTTCCCACACCTCCCATCCTTTGGCACGTGGTAGTTATACTGAATGTGATAAATTCAATTTATCTAACTACCTTCTGTCTATAATAATTTATTCACTCTAGATGAGTGGAATGCTACAGTATCTGTCCTTTTGCATTTGACTTGTTTCACTCCACATAATACATACTGGATTTTGAAGGTTCATCTATGTTGTAGCATGTATCAGAACTTCATTCCCTTTCACGGTTTTATAATATTCCATTGTATGTCTATGCTACATTTTGTTTCTCCATTCCCAGAGTTGTTTTCCTTTTTCTAATCAAGCATGGTTGTTGTAGGGGAGACAATGTTAATCAGCTTAACAATAATGCACAACCCTCACATTAACTGTCTGTGGTTTTGAGATCTGCCTTAATAACTAATGTTGAGCATCTTTTCATGTGCTTACTGACCATTTCTGAATCTTTTTTTGAGACATGGTCTCTCTCTGTCACATAGGCTGGAGTGTAGTGGTGTGATCTTTGCTTACTTCAACCTTGAGCCCTTGGGCTCAGGTGATTCTCCCACCTCAGCCTCCCAAGTAGCTGGGACTACATGTGCACACCATCACACTCAGCTAATTTTTTGTATTTTTAGTAGAGATGGGGTTTCACCATGTTAACTAGGCTGGTCTCGAACTCCTGACCTCGGGTGACCCACCCACTTTGGCCTCCCAAAGTGCTGGGATTACAGGCGTGAGCCACTGCACCCGGCCTTACTGTCTTCGAAATCCAGTATTTATTTTGTGTTTACAGCACATTTCAATTTTGACTACCCACATTTCAAGTGCTACACAGCTACATGTGACTCATGGGTTACCATATCACTCTATCTTTAGACCTTTAACTGGTTTCTGAATTTTTCTTAATTTGGATGACATTTTGCCTTGTTTTCGCTGCCTTCCCTTCACCTTCCCCCAATTAATTCTCAGGTAACTATTCCTAATCTGTAACAGTTATAACAGCAAAAAGATGGCAAAATATAGCAGGTTACAAAATACTATGTAATGGTGTTTACAAATTTATATATTATATTTTTCCAAATATATAATCATAATGCTACTGCAAGTGATCACAATCAGCATGTGACTGTGAGGGCTTGCAGACAGTAAGTTATGTTTGTGGCCTAGAAGCACTATTTGTATAATTTACTCTATATGCTGAATGTCTCTCTTTAATTCTCAAGGATACTGAATAAACGATTATCGGTGCTAAGTATTCTGCTTCTCCCACTTCAGAATCTACCTAGTGATTTTAATCCATGAGAGCAATTTTCTTAGCTTAGTTTGTCAGTTCCTATAGTTTCCTGACTAAGCAGTTATTTGAAAAGAGTTCAAAAAGTGTCCTTTCAAATTGTTCTTTTGTTTGCATTTTTACAGTAATTCCATTCAATATAACTACCACTTGGAAATCCTACTATCACCCTCCCTTGACACATGGCCAGTTCAATAGATCTGAACTTCAGCAAGCAATGCTGCAATTCTAAGACTCATTTACAGGTCTTAATGCTAATGACTATCCTTTCATTTAATATTAATCAAGAAAGAAGTGGATATGAGAATGACAGTATATTTAAGAGTCATAACACATCACAAACTGGGTATCACTTCCACTCTAAAGAAAGAATAATATATCATTACTATGTGCCAGAACAAAACAAGCCTTGATTCAGCCTTCTTGATTCAGTTTCCTAATTGCAATAATCACATCATTCACTACATTAAGTAGCCAACTTCAGAGAATTATCAATGAAACCACTATGTGGATTTTCCCAGATGCAGACAGATACAATCTTAATACTGCTTCAATTAATTAACACAAAAATGTAACATCCTGAATGAAATCAGTCTTCCAAATAAGTACTACTCTCTTAGGTACCAAATACTCCTTATTTTGGAGCATTTATCCTTTTTGAAACAAAAAACACCAGATACTGATTTTTGCAACTAGGGCCTCACTTGTCTTCAAGCCTTAGAAGTCTATCAATATAGGCCGGGCACGGTGGCTCAAGCCTGTAATCCCAGCACTTTGGGAGGCCGAGACAGGCGGATCACAAGATCAGGAGATTGAGACCATCCTGGCTAACATGGTGAAACCCCGTCTCTACTAAAAAATACAAAAAACTAGCCGGGCGAGGTGGCGGGGGCCTGTAGTCCCAGCTACTCGGGAGGCTGAGGCAGGAGAATGGCGTAAAGCCGGGAGGCGGAGCTTGCAGTGAGCTGAGATCCGGCCACTGCACTCCAGCCTGGGCCACAGAGCGAGACTCCGTCTCACAAAAAAAAAAAAAAAAAAAAGAAGTCTATCAATATAATGACCACTTCGAGGTCTGTGATTCTACAGAATTGGCCTAACCCAATATCCCTAATGAGTCAGTGTCAAGTAAAAAGTAATTGTAACAGATTAAATGGGAATACAGATTAAGGGAAAAGCAATGCATAGTTTAAACAACCCAGTTGTAAAGACTATTTTTGAGACAACTAAGGAAAAGCACACTGGGTATCAGATGATATGAAGAAGTTTTTAAAATAACAAAAAGTAAAAAATTAATAAATAAGAAAAAGTATAGTAGGCCAGGTACAGTGGTTCACATCTATAATCCCAGCACTTTGGGAGACTGAGGTGGGCAGATTACTTGAGGTCAGGAGTTTGAGACCAGGCTTGCCAATACAGCAAAACCCCATCTCTACTAAAAATATAAAAATTAGCCTGGCATGGTGGCGCATGCCTGTAATCTCAGCCACTCAGGAGGCTGATGCACAAGAATCTCTTGAATCTGGGAGATAGACGTTGCAGTGAACTGAGATCACACCACTGTACTCCAGCCTGGACAACAGAGTAAGAATCCATCTCGAAAAAACAAAACAAAAAAAACCCAAAAAACTGCTACGGCCTATAGTCTTACCTTGATAAAAACTAAATAAGGAGAAAAACAACATGAATATTTAAAAGCTCAAAAGTAACATCTCTATTTAAACTAGGCATCAAAGAGTAATCAATAGTTCTTCCTATCAAAAGAAATAATTTGAACAAAAACCTAAATAGGTGTATCTCAATCATTACACAGTAGATATCAGCACAATGTAATAGATGTTAATCTGTAATAGCCAGTGGATCATGAAGTGAGTTCTAGCCCATGTAATTGCCCAATCACGAAAAATGATGCTTATCATAAGAAATCCTAAAATAGCGCTGCAATAATAACCTCACAACAAGCAACTCAAAATGAAATAGCAAAATAAACAGTGAACTAAAAACCCTAAAAACTTGTCTACCATTGTCTTGAGAGAGGTTTAGGCTATAATAATTTTATTAGTTACTCTATTTCATAAATCCTCACCTCTTTTGGAGTTTTATGAGCTGCACAAAGAAAAATCCATTGTTCAGTTGCTGTCATTTGTGTGCAAGTATCTGGATGGCATTCACTCTGTTAAAAATAATTAATTTCTTAATATGTAAAATAATAAGGAAAAAGCTTATCATTTAGGTTACTATATTTCCATAATAAATTCTAGAAGAAAGTTAGAAATTTGGAGTTTTTGTAAGCACATTAAGCTATAAAAACAGAGAAAAAAAATCAGAACTTTCAATTACAACTTTGACTTAAAGAAAATATTACCTGAAGTTTGACAGCAAGTCCATTTAGCTCAAGGCAGAACTGCCTGAAAATGCAAATACATAAATAAAAAGTCATTATCTATTCTCCACAGCAATTTTTAGAATATTAGCTGCAAAACGAGAATCTCATCAGTATCATTCCTCCTCCCTCACTACCATTATCGAAACCAGCTGAACAGACAACAACACATTTCTTCTAAAGGCTTACAGATTAAAAATAGAAAACCAATAACTCTCATAACATTCAATACCAGAGTTCAGTGAGCTGATCATTCTCTTATATACTAGAAATTAGTACAATTTTTCAGGGAAGTAATTTGGAAATATTTACCAAGACTTTTAGGAAGTGTATACTTTTTGACTAAGTCATTCTTCTAAGAATCTATTGTAATGAAATAATCAGATCTGCATGCAGATAAATGTATAAACAAGTTCACAGGAGTTATATATGCATATGAGAAAATTTCTGAATTGTAGAAAAATTCAGCAACTGGAGAGTAATAAAATGTTGGTATACAGAAACACACAAAGAAATTACAGCAGGGCACAGTGGCTCAGACCTGTAATCCCAACACTTTGGGAGGCCGAGGCAGGCGAATCACCTGAGGTCAGGAGTTCAAGACCATCCTGGCCAAAATGGTGAAACTCCATCTCCACAAAAATACAAAAATTAGCCAGGCATGATGGCGATGCCTGTAATCTCAGCTATTTGGGAGGCTGCTGAGGGACAATTGCTTGAACCTGGGAGGCAGAGGTTGCAGTGAGCCGAGATTACACTACTGCACTCCAGCCTGGGCGACAGAGTAAGGCTCCATCTCAAAAAAAAACAAAAACAAAAACAAAATTACATTACAATTACATTAAGGCCATCAGTTTTAGACAGTTATGTGATAAAAAGACAATCTTCTATGTCACCAAGTTTTATAGCTGTCAAAATACTGAACGTGTTCCCTCCAAAAGTCCTACCTATTAATATTTAGTTCAATGTATCAAGTTAGATAAATCAATACTATGTTTCCTCATCAGAAAAAATTGAATCATTTTGGTTCCCAAAACAATGCAAAGCTAAAACCTATATAATCAGAAGACCAAAAAAAAAAAAAAAAAAAAAATTCCCTCCAAAAAAGAAAAAAACCAGGATATATATGAACAAATTTGGTAGGAAAAACTTTACTTACTGCACATTGTAACAGAAGAAAACAAAAAGGCAAGAGACAAATTTTCAGTTGTTTGTAACTGCATTTCCTTTCCAGATGCCTAATAATGCTGTCCTTAGATTACAAAAATAACATTATTTCTAAATCACCATATCACCGTCTACTGCCCCCTATCAAGTAGGCTGCATGTTATGTGTTTTTTTAGTTGTTTTCCACTAAGTGGTAATAAAGACTGGTTGTGATAAGTTTCTTACCTAACCTAACCTAACCCTTTTACAGCCAATAGCAAAATTAAGTTGATTCAGCAGTGCTGTGGGTATCATCTGTGGCAAATAATGCAAAACTTACAGCTTCAAGTTAAATTAATACAGGGCTAACATGTATACAGTTGTGCAGCTGAAGAGACCAACCAGAGCTGGAATCCAGCCTACATTCCAGGAACCACACATGTATCCTGGCATAAAGGAGTAACTTTTCCTAATCATTAAGACTCAATATGAGTTAGTGGGAGATTTGACTGAAGTCATGACCCAATTCAAATTAACATCATTATATAATCAACTACATTAACTAAAAATGGCAAGTGTACAGCCTCAAATCAATAAAGGATATATGTAAAAACAAACAAACAAAACTCTTCCTGGTCAACTAATAAAAACATACATAATACAATAAAGAGATAAAAGAATATATACATGATAGTCCAAAAAGTGGTCAGCAGAAAAAAATAACAAAAGTAAAAATCGCATCAGAACAAATGAAATACTTGTGAGCAATATTTTATGTGAAGTTTTATGTAATGTTTTATATAATGTATGTTTCATAGAATAAGTTAAATAGGGAGGTGAATGTTTTCTTAGACCTGAAAAAAAAAAACTCTTGTACACTAAAATCAGCCCTTATTTGTTAGGAATTATGCTTGTAATGGAAAAAAAGGCCAACCACGGTGGCACACGCCTGTAATACCAGCACTTTGGGAGGACAAGGCAGGCGGATCACGAGGTCAGGAGAGCAAGAACATCCTCATCAACATGGTGAAACCCCGTTTCTACTAAAAATACAAAAATTAGCTGGGCATGGTGGCGTGTGTCTGTAGTCCCAGCTACTTGGGAGGCTGAGGCAGGAGAATTGCTTGAACCTGTGTGGCGGAGGTTGCAATGAGCCGAGATCACACCACTGCACTCCAGCCTGGTGACAGAGCGAGACTTGAGACTCCTGTCTCAAGAAAAAAAAAAAAGAAAGAAAGAAAAAGAAAAAAGCATGCTCACCTACTTTCATCATTAATGCCAAAGCATAAGAAAGCAGTTATTTTCAAGGCTGATTAAAAATAAAGCAAAGGATGTACTACATTGAAGTGCTGTCTTGGGTTGTAAAAATGGGAAAATACCTACAAACTCATCTTTCAATTATTGTGCATTCAGATATGTAAAAAAGTTAGAAATAGTCAAGTAATTTGTCTAAAAATCAGCAAAGGGTACAAAGAAGTCTTAGCATCCTGAAATTGCTGAACTGTTATGACACGACATAATGTCTTGGCCATATCTAAAGAAGCATGCAGCATCAAAAAGTAAGTATTTTTTAAAAGTGCCTTGTCTTCAAGTTGAGGCACACAACACAGGAAACATGGTCAAATTTATTCAGGAAAAGTCATATTTCTACTCTACTTACCTAAAAATCAACTTACAAATAATAAGCCCCAATGAAAACATACTGCACTCTCTATATTTATTAATAATCTGTCAACTCATCCCAGCTCCCATTTGCACTGGAAAATTTATAATTTCAAGAAACACCTAGTAACTTCAGAATATATCTACTTCTAAAGTTATCTCCACCTATCCACTAGTTATCAGTTTTTTCATTCAAAGGGTATTACAAAAAGCACCAAAACTCCTTACTTCAGGATTACAATTAATCTCTATTTACCAAAGACAAGACTGGAAGTTTGCAATAATTTACAGGTAACTTATCAGATACCAAGCCTAGACTAGGAACTAGAAGTAATCCTCCACAAAAACATAAAGTGGCCAAGTGCAGTGGCTCATGCCTGTATAATCCCAGTGCTCTGGCAGGCCGAGATGGGAGGATCACTTGAGCCCAGGATTTCAGGACCAGCTTGGACAATACAGTGAGACTCCATCTCTACAGAAACAAAGGGGGAAAAAAAAAAAAGACAAGTCGGGCACGGTGGCTCACGCATGTAATACCAGCACTTTGGGAGGCCGAGGCGGGCGGATCATGAAGTTAGGAGTTCGAGACCAGCCTGGCCAACATAGTGAAACCCCATCTCTACTAAAAATACAAAAATTAGCCGGACATAGTGGCACGTGACTGTAGTCCCAGCTACTCAGGAGGCTGAGGCAGGAGAATCACTTGAACCTGGGAGGCAGAGGTTGTGGTGAGCAGGGATTGTACCACTGCACTCCAGCTTGGGTGACGGAGTGAGACTCTGTCTCAAAAAAAAAAAAGACAATAGATGACACAAAGTTATGCATAAATGGGGAAATGGAAATACCGTATTAGTGGTTAAGAGATACAATTAAGGAAAACCATGAAATAAGATAATAAAACCCAGGCTGGCATGGTGGTAATCCCAGCACTGTGGGAGGCCAAGGTGGGCAGATAGCTTAAGCCCCGGAGTTGGAGACCAGCCTAGGCAACATGGTGAAATCCTGTCTCTACAAAAAATACAAAAAACTAGACAGGCTTAGTTGCATTCACTAGTAGTAGTCCCAGCTACTCAGGAGGCTGAGATAGGAGGATTGCTTCAGTATGGGAGACAGAGGCTGCAACGCACCAAGATTGCACCACTGCACTCCAGCCTAGGCAACAGATCAAGACCCTGTTTTAAAAAAAAAAAAAAGGTGGGGATAATAAGGCCCAAATCAATAAATGTAGAAAGGGTGGCTCAATACTTTGGGAGGATAAGGTAGGAAGATTGCTTGAATCCAGGTGTTTGAGACTAGCCTGGGCAACATAATGAGATCCTGTCTCTACAAAAAACTAAAAAAATTAGTGAGGCATGCTGGCACACGCCTGTAGTCCCAGCTACTCTGGAAGCTGACGTACGAGGATCACTTGAGCCTGGGAAGTAGAGGCACAGTAAGCAGTGATTGCACCACTGCACTCTAACATGGGCAATAGAGTGAGACTCCATCTCAAAAAAAAAGAAAAGTAGAGAGGTGCAGAGGCAGGTCCCAGTTATCAGCTCTGAAACCACCTTTCAAAACGAGTGACTCTGTAGCATACTTTGATCTGGAAACAACCAGTGAAGAAAGCTGAGAACCTTGTGACGCTGAAAATGCCAAAGCTTTAAAATTTGGCTTCTTAGTCTGCAGTTACATAGTAAATTTTACGATTCATAATTATCATTAATATGAAAGTTAGTTTCGTGAGAGGAACTATTAGTATTTTGATGTAACATACCTTAAATGTTCATACTTCCACACACCTTCATCTTGGCCTTCAGGTGGTTCAAGAATTTTGTCAATATTGGAGCAATCTGCTCTTATGTTCTGTTGAATATACTAAAAACAAAGAAGTTCTTATGGTTAATTAAATTATACCACCTGGTAAATCTTATATTAAGTACATATAATTTTTGAATACGTAACTGCTCTTGTGGTTCAACTTGGGTTATACACTAAATAGGAAACCAAGTATAGAATCATAATCAGTAACTCAGAAAAAACTAGGTTACCCTTACTTATTTACCCTTCAATTCAACATCATTTGTATAGAATCTACTACATAAATGCAGATATTGCATTTGTCAGGACTGTAACTGGGATCAAAATTGCAAACTGTAATTTTTTTTTTTTCTTTTTTTTTGAGACAGGGTCTCACTGCATCACCCAGGCTGGAGTACAGTGGCACAATCTCAGATCACTGCAATATCCACCTCCTGGGCTCAAGCAATCCTCCCAACTCAGCCTCCTGAGGAACTGGAACTACAGGCACACACCATCACGCTGGGCTAACTTTTCTGTATTTTGTAGATACAGGATTTCGCCATAGGCAATGTAAATACAACTATGGTACATATTGTGATTCCGTTTATACCAAGTGTCTAAAATAAGAAAATCTATTGAGACAGAAAATAGATTTGTACCGGCGTAGGGCTTGAGGGCAGAGAGGAAGGCAGAGGAGACCAAAGATGGCTGCTAATGGGGATGAGTTTTCCTTTAAGAAAGGATAAAAATGTTCTAAAAGGCCAGGCGTGGGGGCTCATGCTTGTAAGGCCAGCACTTTGGGAGGCCAAGGCGGGCAGATCACGAGGTCAGGAAATCAAGACCATCCTGGCTAACATGGTGAAACCCTACCTCTACTAAAAATACAGAAAATTAGCAGGGCGTGGTGGTACACACCTGTAGTCTCAGCTGCTCCGGAGGCTGAGGCAAGAGAATCGCTTCAACCCGGGAGGCGGAGGTTGCAGTGAACCAAGATCGCGCTACTGCACTCCAGCCTGGGCAACAAAGCGATACTCCGTCTCAAAAACAAAACAACAAAAAAAAGTTATAAAATTAGACTGTAGTGATGGCTGCGCAACCCTGTGAATATAATCACTCTAACTGTACGGGGATTTGTATGGTACGTTCATTAGACCCAATAAAAGTTGTTTTAAATAACTAAGTTTAAAAAAAAGGCAAGGGAGGGTCACTTTCAATTTTTAAAATGTAATAACATAAAAATTTATATTTCAGATCTCTGTAATGCTTCATGCAATCTTTTTGATATTCTGAAATCTGAATAGGTTAGACTAAAAGGGTGGTTACAAAAACTAACTATAAGACCTTCTTGAGCCAATCAATTTTGCCTACTTCAGGCAGTCTTTCTTAAATATCACTTGCGTACTCAAAAACTTTTTTTCCCAAACAAAAGGTCTCACATATTTAGTACTGAACCAGCCTACTGCAGAGCATAGAAACCAAAAGAAAAACCATTGTTCCAATACAGCATGTCCAACTGTCCAGATGATGGTGACATTTTCAGCTTGATATGGTGACATGATAGTGATCTTGATACAATATTAAATATGTGTGCCATCTCATGTAAAAATTCCTTCTAGACCCAGTTTGGTTTTTTTCCCAATGTCTCCTCTTAGAATTGTACCTGATTTTATTACTCAGTTTTCACCTGAATCCACTGGGGAATGCAACGATTTTGCTTTTGTTTCTTGGTTGGGAATCACTTGATTCTAAAAGTCTTGTGGGAAGGCATGGCAAAGAACAGAGTCATGCACACACACCACGATGACAGGGAAAGGGATCAAACACTTTTTTTTTTAGATGGAGTGTTGCTCTTGTTGCCCAGGCTGGAGTGCAATGGCTCAGCCTTGGCTCACCGCAACCTCCGCCTCGCGGGTTCAAGCGATTCTCCTGCCTCAGCCTACTGAGTAGCTGGGAATACAAGCACCTGCCACCACGCCTGGCTACTTTTTGTATTTTTTGTGGAGACAGGGTTCACCATGTTGGTAAGGCTGGTCTCGAACTCCTGACCTCAGCGGATCCACCCACCTCGGCCTCCCGAAGTGCTGGGATTACAGGCGTGAGCCACCGTCCCCAGCCTCAAACACTTTTTAATCACTCTTTAATTATTACTGAAACCACTCTCCCTGATATTTTTTATCTCATCCTAATGTTTCAAAGTTTTGATTCTCTCTCTCCTTGAGGAGATACAGGTAAATTGTATACCTTCTCCACAGGCCACCTCAAATTCCATGTCACAATTCTGTCCAAATCTCTCATTCCCCTAGTACACTCAAGCACTCCCTGATTATTCGAATCCTCACAGAACTCCATCCGATTTCCTGCCATATTTGTAATTTGTATACATTAGCAATCTGTCTATTCATTTTTGTCTTTCCTGTTCCCACTACACCTTCTATGGATAGAACTTTTTTTTGTTTTTGAGATAAAAGTCTCATTCAGTCACCCAGGCTGGAGTGTAGTGGTGCAATCTCAGCTCACTACAACCTCTGCCTTCCTGGTTCAAGTGATCCTATCGTCTCAGCCTTCGGAGTAGCTGGGATTATAGGCATGCGCCACCATGCCCAGCTAATTTTTGTATTTTTAGTAGGGACGGGGTTTCACCATGTTGGTCAGGCTGGTCTTGAAGTCCTGACCTCAAGTGATCCACCTGCCTCAGCCTCCCAAAGTGCTGGGATTACAGGCGTAAACCACCACACCTAGCCTTCTATGGCTAGAACTCTTAGCAGCACTTATTTCGCACTTAATAGCACAACTTACTAGCGCTTACTTTCATGTGTCTCCTTCATATAGCGAGTCCCTGAACACAGAGACTTTTATTTATTTATTTATTTGTTTATTTATTTATTTATTTATTTTTGAGATAGTTTCGTTCTGTCACCCAGGCTAGAGTGCAGTGGCGCTATCTTGGCTCACTGCAACCTCTGCCTCCTGGGTTCAAGCAATTCTTCTGCCTCAGCCTCCCAAGTAGCTGGGATTACAGGTGTGTGCCACAACACCTGGCTAATTCAAGACTGCCTTGGCTAATTCAAGACCACCTAAGCTAGTTTTGAACTCCTGGGCTCAAGCAATTCTTCCACCTCAGCCTCCCAAAGTAATGGGATTACAGGCATAAACCACTGGGCCCAGCCCAATTTTAATTATTTAACCATATATTTAGAAACTGACTTTACATATATAATTACTAAATTTTGTTATTAAGTGGAGTTACAAGCCTCAATCTTGAAGACATCTAGAATCGTTTTATTGATACCAATTTATGTAAAGCAAAAAAGAAATCCTTAACTTAGAAATAAAACAAAAATGTCATTTTGGTGAGTCACAATGGCTCACTCCTATAATTCCAGCACTTTGGGAGGCAGAGGTGGGCAGATCACCTGAGGTCAAGAGTTCAAGACCAGCCTGGCCAACATGGTGAAATCCCGTCTCTATTAAAAATACAAAACCTGGCTGGGCATGGTAGCACACACCTGTAATCCCAGCTACTGGGAGACTGAGGCAGGAAAATCACTTGACCCTGGGAGGTGGAGGTTGCTGTGAGCAGCAATCATACACTATTGCACTCCAACCTGGCAGTGAGAGACTCTATCTCAAAAAAAAGTCATTTTGTTTTCTATGAGTCCTCCACACTTTTATGCAATAGAGGCAACTATCATTTTTTTAAAAATGAGCTAAGAAGGCTGGATGAGGTGGCTCCCGCCTATAATCCTAGCATTTTGGGGGGCCGAGGCAGGTGTATCACAAGGTCAGGAGTTTGAGACCAGCCTGGCCAATATGGTGAAACTCCATCTCTAATAAAAATACAAAAATTAGCCGGGCATGGTAGCACATGGAGGTTGAGGCAGGAGAATCGCTTGAACCCAGGAAGCAGAGGTTGCAGTGAGCCGAGATCATGCCACTGAACTCCAGCCTGGGCAACAGAGCAAGACTGTCTCAAAAAAAAAAAAAACCTACTTGAAGAAATAATGCTAAAAAGTTTCCAAGTTTGTAAAAAGATTTAAGCTTGCAAATTCAAGAAGCTGAGTAGGCTGGGAAAAAAAGAGGAATAGGAACTTATTGTTTAATATGTATAGAATTTCAGTTGGGGAAGATAAAAAATTTCTGGACACGGATGGTGGTGATGGTTGCATAATGGAAATGTACTTAATGCCACAGAACTGTACACTTTAAAATAGCAAAAACGATAAATTTTATGTCTCATATATATTACCACAATTAAAAAAAAAGCTGAGTGAACATCAAACAAGATAACCCCAAAGAAATCTACATCCAGACACATCATAATCAAATGGCTAAAACCCAAAGATAAGTCCAGGTGTGGTAGCTCAGATCTGTAATCCCAGCACTTTGGAAGACCAAGGCAGGAGGATCACTCAAGCCCAGGAGTTAGAGATCAGCTTCGGCAACATAGTAAGACCACATGTCTACAAAATATAAAAATTAGCCAGGCATGGTGATGTATGCCTGTAGTACCAGCTACTTGAGAGGCTGAGTTGGAAGGATTGCTTGAGCCTAGGAAGTCCAGGCTGCAGTGAGCCATGATCATGCCACCGTACACCAGCCTGGAATGAGAGAGTGAAACCTTGTCTCAAAAAAAAAAAAAGAAAAAAGAAAAAAAAAACACCACTAAAGAAGACAGAAGAATCTGAATGACGGCTTCTTTCTCATCAGAAACCATGGAAGCCAAATGGCAAAACATTTTTAAAGTGCTGAAAGACTTAGCAGGCTGAAGCAGGAGGACTGCTTGAGGCCAATAGTTCAAGACCAGCCTAGGCAACACAGCCAGACCACGTCTCTACAAAAAAAAAAAAAAAAAAAAAAAAAAAAAGTCAGTCAGGGGTGGTGTGCAACTGTAGTCATAGCTACTCAGAAAGCTGAGGTGACAGAATCTCTTAAGTTCAGGAGTTTAAGGCTGCAGTAAGCTATGATCATACCACTGCACTCCAACCTGGCGAAAGAGTGAGATACTGTCTTAAAAAAGATAAAAATAGAGTCCAGGCACGGTGACTCACACCTGTAATCCCAGCACTTTGGGAAGC